CTTGACGCCTGTCAAATGATTGTCAAATCGCGCGTCCTGCACTTGTTTCTGGTCCCCGAAACTGGAAGAAGCCATATAATAAACATCTTATTAGCCTTTTTTTTGCGGTCCGCACTGTAAAATATGGATCCTCGTTTTTTTCCATCGATTTATGGCCCAAGCGCGAAAAGAACTCGGTCCGTAATTTACAGTACGGACCGAAAACTCGGCTAATAAGAGGTATATATTTGCCTTCAGCCGAACTTTCACAAAAGGAGACGCATTTATTGGTTACCACGAAGATTGCGTGCCAGCTGTAGTTTTGCAAGTTTGTGCTGAACTTCATGAAGACGGCTCCGACTTATCAGATGTAGAAAGGGACGCATGGCAAGAGAAGGTACTTTCCCTCATTTTATGTCATTGTTTTAATTATTTATTTATTCATTTATTTGCATGTTTTTATTTTCGTTTCCTCGCTACTTAAAAGAATAAACGAGACTATAAAATTACCTTGAGCCTAAAGAAAAACTATGAAAAATGGTGATGGTAACTCAGCTCTCACGCGAGGATTTTGTGAGTGACAGCCACGGTAAACTCTCAGTAGTGTTGCTGGTAACCCTCTCTGATCTCTTGATTCCCATAGGATTTCCCCTATTTTATTGCTTAAGATTATCTAAATTGCTTGTTTTCTCTCCATTTTTTCAGATATTGAGGTGCTCCCAGGAACGTCTATTACAGTGCGCGACTCCTGATTCTGTGGCTCGTCTGAATTCGTCTCGTCTGAAAAGAGAGGCGTCTAGTTTGTGGACTAAGTACTTTGGGGAGCAGGAACACTCAAGTTTGGCTAACTTTTTGGCGAAAACTCTGAAGGAGCTCAAATTTCAGCTGCGTGCTCAAGTAAGATAATTTCATGAGTACTCTTATTTATCATATAGTTCTTGCTAAGCTAACGAACTAAATTTCTTACTTTTGTGAATAAAACGCAACTTTGAGTTAATGAAAATAATCCGATAAGTAAATCAACAAGAATCCGTCCTTGACAGGAAACTGCTATTAGATGATAGATCAAGAGGAAAAATAACTTTGAAAAGAAAAGCTCTGAACGAAAAACAAGCACTTGTGTTTCGCTTTGATATTCCAATTATACATTAACGTTCGCATCAAAAAGAGGATGAATGCGGATTTTAATATATTTTAACCTGAGATAAAACGCGGTATGCGGTTTTGCTGGCCCTTATTGTGAAATGAGCGCCTAACAGACCAGAGGTTATTTAGTACACAGCTTGTTTGAAGACGTTTCTTACCTTCTCAAGAGAAAAAACACTTTTTGCAGATTTCCACACATTCCCGCTTACTCTCTGACCGCGACATCACATCCATAGCGGAAGCTACTGGCCTTCCTGAAGGCTGTGTGAAATGTGTATCATTACAGCAGTTCCAAACTGAGCAACAGTTCTGCAATTGCATTGGGTAAGCTTAGTTATGATGGTAAATGAATCACAAAATCTGTTATAAATTAGTACGAAGAGTCAAAATACCCCCCCGACCCACACCACCCAACCGAGCCCCGCCGCTACTCCCCCCCGCCCTCCCCCCCCTCCCCCACCCCCCCCACTACCGCCCCTCTCCCCTACCCCTCCCGCCCTCACACCCCCACCGCCTGGGGGAACTACTGGCCCTTCCGGAGGGTGTGTGAAATGTGTTTTATTACACGAGTTCCCAACTGAGCAAAAGTTTTGCAAATGCATTGGGGAAGCTTAGGTTTGATGGTAAAAGAAACCCAAAAACTGTTTTAAAATTGTACGGAGGGTCAACCCCCCCCCCCCCCCCCCTCCCTCTGACACGGAACCTGTTGGTACCGGCACCTAGGCTTTGTCTCCACTAGAACAGTTCAGAAAAGAAACATATCGGATAGGGCTCTCGTTCATCGCATACAAAAGAACTGTGATTTCGGAACGGTTTATGTAACGGAGGGAAGCTGCACCTGTACCTTTAAGTCGATTGTGACATGTCGGACAGGATTTTGTGATACCCTTTGAGACTGTGTGAACAGGTGTTCATACCAGGCCGGAGAAGATTTTATATCGACATTATAACTTATTTCCTATAGTTTAGACCTGTTTCCCTCTTTGATGAAAACCGCGGGTTTCATCTAAGATTGTCCCTTGGAAAAATATCTATCGTATACAGGTGATCCCTAAAGAAAAGTTGTTGTTCCTCTCCGAGATATGCCCAGAAATACACACACACTTGACCCTGGGTACTTCGTATTAAACACAATTTCAATTTTTCATTTACTTTTGACCTCATTTTTGACAAAGCCGTTTGCGTTTAGGTGAGAATTCATAAAAGGGCGTGAATCGTATTTATTAGCGAGCATTTCCATAAATCATTTCACTTCTAGTGAAAGGTTAACGGTTATAATCCAGTACTAGGATCACTGTTTTTCCTTTATCATAGGAGGGAGTTTTTTGCAAAACTTGGAGGCAGAGAAGGCCTACTGATAGTTCAATGTGATTCCACGGACCGAACTCTAGACTTGGTTGCTTGTGCCCGACATCTTCTCATGGAAGAGTGCCGAGAAACGGAGAAGGAACTGGATGAAGAATGCATTGGGTCCATTCACATCTTGATGATTGTACAACTGGCTAGAGTGGCTGGAGGATGCCCCGATTTTGTTGCAGTTCAAGGGGAAGGTTGGTTGTCAGTTCATATTGACGAGCTCTGTCCACCGAGTGAGGAGATACCACCCATTGAAGCTATGACAGGCCGTTCTGTTAGCAGAATATTTGAGAGTGCAATAAACAAGACAGAAGATAATTTCACTGTGCGGCAGGTGCTAGCTAGTTGTGTGCAGGAAGCTGCTAGTAGGATTGAGGATGATGACACCACTCTTGAAAGAGCCACAAGAAGAGTTGTACTGATGGTCAGCTTACTCTCCCCCAAAACGACTATAACTCGTGAAAGTACGTATAAATTTCTGTTGATACTGTTGACAACAGTTCTTCATCTAGAGCGTTTGCAAGACACGTTATGATATAGTCAAACCCTATCGTCGCTGTCACCTCTCTGTTTTCTCTTTTGATCTCTTCTCTGCATTGAGGGTACGGCTCTGCCTCAGTGTTCTTCTTACACTAAGGCGATCTGGCTGTAGTACCCACTGCTACATTTTTTACGGAGACTACTTTGCAAACCAAAAAGACGATTGGCTAAAATATCTTTAGAAGACATAGCCTGTTTATTTTTCAATGCAACCAACACACTTCTTTTTACAGCCTCTTTTTATGTGGAGGAATGTTAACAGATAACCCATAGTGAAGTTCCTACTTGGTTTTTTTTTTTTTTCAACACAATCTGTTACGTTAGTTTATCAAAAGTTCAGTACAGCAGGAAAAGTTATTGAGAATTACTGTATGGCCCACGCAGTATCACTCTTTTATTTAAAAAAAATTAACGATGCTAAATCCGTTTGCCAAAAACCTAATAGAGTAAAGAAACGTTATTATAAATTAAGTGTTTATAATAGCTCATAATGACAAACCTTTGTAGGTGAAGGAAGTTTTGAGGCAGTGCTTGCAGAACGTGTCTATCAGTTGTTGCAAGAAAGAGATCTACGAGCACCGAATGAAGGAAAAGAATGGCTTGAAACTGAGGCATTATCTGCCACTACAAAAGAAACCGGAACATTCAAGAAGGCATTGTGGCGTCGCTTCCAGTCCGTTGTAGCCCCATTTCTGGCAGAACTCATTGCATATGTTGACCGAGATGGAAATCTTGAACTGGCAGCTAGCGAAGACGATTGGATCGTAAACCTGTGGTTGAAAGTTCTTCGAAACAGTTCTTTCACTGAACTAGAGTACGATGACTTTTTGGTCAAAAAGGGAGATGCCTCTGTTTTAAGAAGAAAGGTTCCGGTCCAAAAATCAGGATATCGCTCCCATTCATTTCAATGCAAGTTACCATTTTCATGGATTCTCAAGGAGCGTATGGATGAGTTGCATCGAGATGCGCGGAATATAGCGGGTAAAGGAAAACTCCAAATAAATTGCTTTTTGCGAAGTTAAGAAATTAATTAGTTTGTTATGTGCGTCTATGAGAATGTAAACGGAATTTGATTAAGCCAGAATGTTTCAAAAGCTGCCTTTCGTCACAGGGAATAAATTACCGTTCTTCAATCGCTGTTCAAAGTGCATGGCAATACAGATCCCAGTTGTGTTCAAAACTTTGAATCTGATTAATCAATTATACCACTGTTTCTCTTTTGATACTATAATAATGATGCTAAAATGGCCGAATACTGGTTGTTTAAATGGTTGTCGTTAACCTGAGCTTCAAGTGTTCATGCTCAAAAATTAGTTCAGTAATCTCATTTTTTTGTCGACATATTCTAATACACTTAATGTTCTAGAATGTGCTGAAATTAGAGGTGCAGAAACTCTCGACACCTAAGAAAATGTTTAGTGGTACCTTATATATTTGAAATTAGTTAAAGCTGATCTCATACTCATGAATACGCGTGAACGCCACTAGTCATTCATTCATTTACTTTGATCGCCATACTTATTTCATTGTTATCGCGATTTTAGTTAACTCCAATGAATCCACAACTGAATGTATGCGGAACCTTCTAAACAGTTCACAAGTACATGAAATTTTGTCAGAAGCCATCTCCGATGGCGGGGAAGCAGTGGCAGACCGCTATTTGCACGATTTTGCGCACATGACGTACACACCTCAAGGAGATGACGAACTAGAGGTAACAGTTGACCATTTGCCTATTCGACGTTGATGAATAAAAGTAATCCAGGCATTACTAGCTGGATATGCTTTGAATTGGACACCTCAGTCGACCCGCCCTTGCCATTAACCAATTGCTTTGTCTCATGCTAGTTGGGAATCGTTATCCTGTTTGATCTGTATGTATGATTATTTGAGTCGAGTTCCCTCAAAATAGAAATTGTAGCTTACCCTCACTTCAAGAAAAATGTTCATCTTTTTTTCCAGGTTGTTCTGAGAGCGATTGTAGCCGCGGCAAAAGAAATGCATTCTGAGAGGTCCACTGGAAGGCCTTTTGAATTGGACTTGGCAGCCATACATACAGCACATTTCCGTATAAGGCAACGGCTTACTTGGCTGTCACAGCTACTACATTCCAAGACTAATATATCACCAGAACTATGTAACAGTTTTTCTTGGGATGAAAACGAGATGGTAAGGCCTATACGTATGTTCTTTTTATCTTTTTCATGTATATTCTCATCAAACCACAAGTCAAATTTCTGGAAGCCTGTACCATGAGAATGTGACTTTTTCGGGCAATCGTAAAGAGGAGTACACTGACAAAAACAAAAAAAACTTAAAATACAACACGAGCAAATGCATATCTGTTCACTCTCGTAGTCAAGTAATTATGTAAGGTTTTGGACCATAATTAGCATCTTAGATTCTTGACATAAAAAATATAAAAGCATATCTGATGGAAGAAGTCGAATTTCCATTAGTAAATGGTAGTATAGCCTTGGGAAAATCTAGTGTTTATTTTTTTTCATTTCAACCGTTTCTGACGCATTTTATTTTACAGTGTGTAGACGCCTGTGCCTTGCAAATTTGTTTGGAGAGTTTAGAACCTCACCAAGAAAATGTCTCAGAGCCAACACCAAGGCGGGATTGGTGTGATGAAGTATTATCCTTAAAAGTACCAGTGGAAGCAATGATTGGTAAAGCATTCAAAGACAGGCCAGCAGTTGGAGACAAAACTGAAGCAATACTCACACAGTGCAGGTTTTCCTAAATAATATTTCTTATTGATTTTAGATAGAATTTGGTGGTTCTCAACAACTGTCAAGAATTCATCGACCAGCCTTCTTTAAAATTTTCAGGTACATGTGGCAACGTCTGAGTGCAGTGAGAATGTTCATTGAGAATGTGTACCCATCACAGATCAATCCCGATGTTGGGCAGATAATTTTGAAGCTTTGGAAGGTAAGAAATAGGATAAATTTGGTTTATTATCTATATTTAAAGGTTCATATTCTGTGGTTGTACTTATTACTTATTATAAACCCCACGCGAAGCGTAGGCCATTTGCAAATTCACTCATTCATTTACGCTCAGAAGCTCTTTTCCTGGGAAAACACCTCCTATAGTGGTCCAGGTTCCTGTAAATATCCAGTCTCTTTTAGGGTGCATGTTTTTTCTTCAGTTTATAGAGGGGTTTCCATCTGAGCACCGTTTTCGCGATTTGTAATGCTTTTATCATATGACCAAACCACTGCTAATTCTATTTCCTTCATGTTCAGTCGTTCGAAAAGCGCTTTCATCATATTTTCTTAATACCTCGTTTTTCACTGTTCAGAAGATGATCCTGATCTCTAAAACGTTCCTTTTTTCTCTTCCAGGCTTTGGGTGAAAGGACAGACTTTTCAAAGAAAACCTCTCTTGATGTTGTTGAAAGATTTTTACTAAGCTGCAGTGAAGGTTCTTCTCAACAACATAAGAAGTAAATAGCTTCAGTTACGATTTTATAAGTAACAGTTGACTTGTGGAAAAATTTGTTGCCGTATGGTATAACGTTGTTTACGTTTCAAATATAATCACAATTTCCACCCTTATTCGCCACTATTCTTCTTTTTAACTGTATTAAATTTTACGCTTACCATCAACATGTCTGTGATGTTCTTTTCTTCCTGTGCAGAGACGGCATGGAAAGTCATGAACAGTTTCTTCAGCGCTGCAACGCGTTTTTCATGGATATCGTTTCTGTATTTTGTTTCGGGGAAGATATTGTTAAGTTGGATCCAGAAGTGTTTGAAATGCTCATGCGATATGCTATGGGAGAAGAGTTGACAGAAACAAAAGCCTTTTCTCCATTTCCTAGCTTTGGAATGGACGCCAGTCCTATAGTCAGATCATTTCTCTTACAACATCTTATTAATTCCAGGTGAGATTCTGTATCTTTGCATAAATAAGCATTTGTGGCATACATCAGCACTGGTTTGTGGAATAGATCAGCATTTTTAGGCCTGTTTATCTCTTTACATTGGTCAACATGCTGCATTGATATGGTTTGGAATAGTTTTGGGTGTTTTACGTTTACACACGTGTAGCCGTTGCATTTTTTCGTCGGAATTTGCAATCGTTTTTAAGCTTGAAAACAAAGACAAATTCGCCAACGGGCAAATTCGGCATCATTACGAGTAATCTGCAAATTGATCCTCCCTCACTTTTCCTAGGGCTTTTGGTCAAAAATATGATTCACGACAAATACGTTTTTCACAAACGTAACTATATTAATAAGGTAGCACGTGGGCCTTATAGCGCCAACATTGCCGGAGCTAAAACGATGATTTAACGTGATACGAACAACCCAGTGATGATAGGAACGATGGCTTCATCCATTCGACATGACGCATGCGAATGTAACTGTATGGACATGAGAATAGTAATAATAATATTTTCTGTGTATAATTCTATTAAATATTTAGTGACCAGGAGGCCAAGAGGCATCTTGAACGGTTCTTTTACAAAGCTCAGGGATTATCCTCACAAACGCCACATGTTCTGAAAGTTTGTCTCCTCGTTGTACAATGCATGGAGGTAGGCAAGGATCCAATATATACTGTGTTACTTTACGAATATGATATAAGTGAACGTCATTCAAGTGTAAATGGTGCGGCGGCCTTTTTAGCTTCAAGTCTTCTTTTAAAGCTTCCGTTATAGTTTTCAGTTTTTGGAAAAAAAGTTGGTAATTCCAAAGGGTGTCTTTTAACGGAAGGCATTTATCATGTTTATCTTCTTCCTTTTCAGAACTTTTGGGCCAGTTACTGTGCCAAGAATTCCGTCATCGAAGTTCAAGTTACTATTGGTATTGTCAATGAGTTATGCCAAAGTGCACTAGAAATCTTGACGAGGGACGTCTCAAGTTGTGATGAGCTAAATGTGACTTCCTTGGAAGCTATAGCAAAGGCGCGCTGCGCTTTGACCAAGATCGCAGAGTTTATGTATATGAGCGTCGTCAGTGATGATGAAAGATGGTCCAACCAACAAACACGCGCAGTCCTAAACCCTTTGTTTAATCATGTCCAGGAGCTGTGTGCTTCCGTCCGGTCCAGTTCGCCCACTATCTTTCTCCTCAAACAGCTAGTTAAGCGTTACGGAGTTAATTCCATTGCCACAGTATCTCAAAAGGAAGAGCTTTCTTGGATAGTTCCTGCTGAATTCAGACAAATAGGGGTAAGGGATTTCTAGCAATCTTTCTCAATCTTGCTTTGTAATGAAATCCTAGAAATGCAAAACCAGTTTAAGTCAGGAAAATGGAATTTGTTCATTCTACATCTTTCCACAAAAACGTGTTCGCTAAGCGTTTGTTAACCTTTAATAGGGTGATGGAATGACACTAGACAGGTTCTTGGTTTACGGAGAGTACTATCACAAACTGAGAGATTCTTTAGCAGGCGCCATGTTAAGTGAAAATATGGATGAACTTATTGCATCATTGGAGGTAACTTTTGCCCATTTTTCAGTCAATTTGTCAACTTCAACAATAATGCCGAGGATTTAATGAATCAGCTGTATCTCCATGACCTTGCGTTCTACCAGTTTTTAAATTTGTGCGGATGTTCATGTTTCTTGTAGGCGATGGATGGTATGCCCCGACATGCAAAAGATGTCATAATACTCCTGGCTTTGTACCGAGAAGTCGGAGTGCTGCAGGGGGAGGAGCAAAACCAGCAACAAGTTGGCTCTAAGGTACATTTCAATTCCTGAATTCTGGATAAAGTATTTTAACAATTCAGTCACGCAGCTACCATTTAATAGTAAAAGTCAAATGTTTTCAGCCATTGTGATTGCTGCTATTGATATTAACATCTTATTTTCACTTCTACTGATTTTTATACTGGAAAAGCTTGAGTCTTCATCTGAGGTTCTCTTTCACTTGTTTCTCTTAAATTAGGTTGCAACGTGTCTTTTTTAGTGAAATGAGGTTGCAACGTGTCAAAAATGACTAAATTGCCCATCTAGTTGCACCCTTTAATTCCTTTATATCACCCTTAATTTTGTCTACTTTCTACCTTTTAGGCGTGCCAAATGGTAAAAGATGTCATTTTGAAACGTGGCAAATTTCTTTCAAAAACTGTAAGTCTGAATGTTCTTTTCAAGGTAATGCGCTGCTCTCACAACTAGGGCCAAGCAAACTCTGATTTTTCTTTCCCGCAAATCAGAGCTCACAGCGGCTTCGTACAGACCTTATTGAACCACGTTTACTAACTTTTATCAAGAGTGCGACAGGGAAATCCCGTGAACACCTTAAATATGTCAGGAATGTTTGAGGACAAAAAAACTGAATAACGGTTATAAGTTGGGTTTAATCGAAATCAAAAAAATCGAAAAGGTAAAATTTTGCCTAAACTAATGTTAAAATTGTGGAAATTGGCTCCGAAATATCGGCTGTCCGTTGAATTGGTGATAAGTTTTTAGTGTACAATAAATCGTTCATGTTTTTTTTTATCTGTGATGCACTTGTTCTATATATTTCAGAGTAGTATTGTAGATGATGAGTTTAAAGCAACAATTGCTTTGGAGCGCAAGTGACTGGTGAAAGGACAAATACAGGCGTTTTTCTGTTTCTTTACGAGTTTGTCCCATTAGCGGCTCCGCCGCGAAAAATTTTCCCCAAACTCGCACAAGTGAGCCTGCTCGCAGGTTACTGACGTGTCAGGTGTTCATAGTTTTTCCGGTCGCACTGTAAATCAATGACATGAAATTTGTGAAATGAGAAAGTAACCATCGTCCTTGTTATACACCTAGTTTAAGCAACTGCAGAAGGAAGCCCGAGAATAATAATTATAAAAATTTAAAATTCGCCTAAGATTTCATAGCTTACTTGTACTTGGAAGAGCATCGAACTGGTAACACGGAGGTCATAACTGTATCGTTTATTTTTGGGGGGATATGAATGGCTGATTAACTGATTGGTTGGACGGTTTTTCTTTGGTTTATTGCCTGATTGATGGATTGATTGACTGATGGTCTGTCAGGTAATGAGTAGGTGATAACCCATCACACTCATTTGTTCAGTGTGTTTGCTTATTATTATAGGGACGGCGTTTGGCTCGCCCACTTCTGAAAAATTCAACAGAGAAGAGTTTTCCTTTTCTCACAGTCTCAGGGAGGCAAAAAGACAACGAAAACGCTTTGACTGAGCTGTTGATACACGCAGCTTCAGTCCTCGAGTGTATCGATTTTGATGAGTTGCTGGAGCCCTTAAGTGCGATTCTTCTGAATCCGGAAAAAGTGCTGGTAAGCCGAAAGAGAAGTGTGTTGCAAAATTTCAGTGACTCGATAGAGGAAAACTAATGTTACGTGTGACAATGATATTTATTTCTGAACAAAATAATTGGTTTTATGCTTTAAACGTAGTTGTCACAAGAGCGCCAGGATCAATACTTTAAGGCTGATATTCTGTAACGAAGATTCTCCGAAAGTTAAAATTACAATAGAGACATAAAGGCAGAGGTTGAAGTAAGACAACAAAACGGGTCAATTTTGGATTTCTATCATGCGATTTCCTTAAAATTTCATAAAATAAATTCTAATTACCGTTAGGTACTAAAATAAAACCTCTCTTCCCTACCAGATAGTGCGATGTTTTTTTTTCAAATGACATTTTCCATTATTTTCGTTACTTTTTTAGAACACCTATCTCCCAACTATGCCCGAAGACAGCCTTGATGAAACATTGTCAGCCATGATGAAGGAGGGCGGTCAGTTTTATGGTATGTACAATCCTTAGTACTTAGCTCTTCTCGCCATAAACTTTTTCTTCAAGCCATTTGGCTGTTTCTCGGCACGGTTTCAAGGTTTAATTAAATGCTTTTCTAGTTCTGTTCTTCAGAAACTAGACGAAATCAGCGGAGAAACATTTTTGCATATTTTTCAATTCCTTCCGCTCAGTTTTAGTCTGAAATTCGGCTATTTCGTATTAAGTTCTTTCGACAATTTTTGGTGTTCACTTGTGCATACACAAGGTCGAGGTCGCGGGCTATAACTCATCGTAACGGTGGAATATTGCCTACGTCTTCCAAATTTGGTAAGTGGTGGCTGATTATGAGGAATAAGCCGGAGGAGTAGAGCCAATCAGAAACGGTGAAGTATCTTGAATGAATAATTAAGAAAATTGAATAATAACTGAATTATCCAGTTTGTGTCTATAGTAATAAATTTGTCGCAAAATGGGTAATTTAAACTTTTTAAGAACTTTACTAACTAGAGGTTCATCTGTTAATTACTGAATCCCAAATCAATGTTATACTTCAGTGTGTTTAGCGTCCTCTGTCTTCCTTTGTTTAGAATGTCCAGCAGGCCATCGATACTTTGTTGGTGACGTAAGTATCTTGTTTTAAGTTAGCAAAAAAATTGTGACATTTAATTCTTAAAGTAATTTTTTTCTCAATAAAAGGGTAGTTGAAATAGACGAAACCTCGAGAATGGTCTTGTACTTAGAAGAGCAGAACAGTACAAGACGCACGTGACCAAAACACAGTTACTTCTTACTTCCTCTGTTTGTCTATTTGATTTTTTTGAGGGTGCTAATGGGGGTACCCACACTGTAATTTTGAGGGAGTTATAATAACTCCTCTAGTGGGGCTAATTTAACTCCTTACAGTGGAGTTATTTTAACTCCAAAAAGGAGTTTAAAGAACTCTTTTTCAGGGGTAAAAGTGACCCCAGATATTGAGGAGTTAAAATAACCCCAAAAAAGGAGTTATCCTGTACCTAAAATTTTTACTCCACTTTCAGAGTTAAATTAACTCCAAAAAGAGTAAAAACAACCCATGTAAGGAGTACAAGTAACCACATTTCGGAGTGATTTTAACTCCAGACTGGGAGTAAAAAGAACTCTTTTTCAGGGGTAAAAATGACCCCAAATTCGGAGTTAAATTAGGAGTTAAAATAACCCCAAAAAAGGGGTTATCCTGTACCTAAAATTTTTACTTCATTTTTGGAGTTATAATAACTCCCTAAAAATTAGGGTGCAGTTCTCAGTTAACTACTAATTTTTCGGCCAAAAATCAGTTAACTACTATTTTTTTTGGCCAATTCTCAGTTAACTACTAATTTTGGTTAGCTATCAACTTTCATTTTCCTACAGCGAATATTATTCCGTCATAACCCGAATTTTCTTTACTTCACCACGTGAATCAATTTTGGGGGTAAGGCCCTACTAAATTCCGGTTTAAACTTATATGAATTCACATAAACTAGGCCACTATAGTACCATTCATAAGAAACTGAAAATATCGAAATTAAAAGAACATAATTATCTCACCCAAGTAGTAAAAATGTGTAAGCGATAGCTATTAAGACTCCTATTAACCAATTTTTGCTGTAAGTACAAATTAGATTAAGTCGTATAACCATAAACGTACACCAAAAATTCTTCAAAGTCACCTTCTTGGTCACTTTCAGTTCATTATCTGAATCAGTCTCGTACTTCACTTCCTTTTTCAATAGTGTGGAAGACCAGATCAGGAGCGCAATTGTCCTAATTGCTCAGAGTCCGTAACAATTGGAGGGGTAAAACACACATTGGCTCAATCCAACAGACCTGTAAACACGAGGTAGGCTAGCATGCCCTTTGTCAAATCCACAAAACAACAATGGAAAGGGCAAAGGCAACATATCACTGCTCTAGTTTGTAGAGTAGGCATCACACTATTTGTACTATAATGGTGAAGGAATAAGGGGCGAAATTGCTAGGTTTTTTTACCAAGTTTATTTGTACACCACGCCATACATAAATTAGGCTCGCTAATACACATAACTGAAGGCCTTAAAGCGGTTTAAACGATAAGAGAAAGACAACTTTGCTTTCTAGTCTGAGCGTGAGCAAACAATAATCGACGATATTAAGCGATTTTTCCTACACAATGTCAAAAGTTTAAGTTTACTTCTCCGCTACCCGTATGCAGTCACAGAAAGACTTCTTCTAACAGTTTTGATGCAGTGCGATAAGCCTCTAGGCTAGACAAGAAAACAATGTCGCTTTGTAAAATCCCCGTTTTCCTCTCAAGTGACCCCCAATACTGGCGTCTAGATGACAAAGCATCGAATGAGTGATATCATATTGCTGTCAAACTCTTTCTTACTGACAACAACTTTTTAGTCTGGACCCTCTTCTATTATTGGACTGGTTATTGGTAACAAAGATACCAAACTTCTTATATTGAATTGACGCATCGGTTTAGGACACGTAAACTTCTGTAAATACTACTTAGACACTGACCTATATGAGAATATTCATTATGAGAGAAGAGGTAGAATGAAACAGTGATTGCACACTGTCTAGTAATATGTCAGTTATTGATACATTCCATTTAAGGTACGCACCTAAGTATGTGGTATATGTTGATCAAAAAATCAAGAAATCAAATCCTTTATTTAGACACGTAACACCCATGAGCACTAAAGTTCTCGTTAAAACGTGAACGTGTATACAAATTATAAAATTTAAAATTTAAAAAAAAATAGGCCACTTGCACTAAGAGGTCACATGACCAATGCTTCCTTTAAACAATGAGTTGGAATCTTGCTGATGCCAAAAATTGTTAGAGCACACAAAAATTATCTTACACCCGAAATTTGAGAGGAAACGCATTTAAGGGAGAAATTTTGTGGCACTTTGATTTTTGAGCAAAGTAGTATGATTTGTATTGGCCGCCATGTTGGAGGGCATGCTCTTGCCCTCCAACATGGCGGCCAAAACTACTTCTTGCTTATATCTTGTTCAACGTTTCATGGTTACGCTCAAATGTGCTGTAAACGTTATCACATCATCTTTTCAACATTTTCCTTGAAGTTTAAGTGCAAAATTTGTGTTCAGAGAGGTAATTCATAATTTAAAAATCACATTATGGTCACGTGACCATTTACGAACTTATTCATTTTAAGGAAATGGTGCGGGTTTGAAAAACCAAATCACCATTATTTTGTTTAAGATATGACCCACTAATCGTTTTTCGAAGGCAAAATCATATAACTTTCATTTTCATAAAAACGGTGTCACATGCCTCTTAGTGCAAATGGCCTATTATGCTAGAAACCTATACATTACTACTGTAAAAATACTAGCTATAAATAGATCTACAAAATGGCTAAAAGCAGAATCTAAAACTAAAACTATTTACAAGCACTACACCCTGAGCCATGTGAGCTTTAAGAGATCGCTTAAATGACGCAATTTCTTGTGATTCTCTGACTTTTGGAGGTAACGCATTCCAAAGTTTGCTGGCTAAAAATGTAAAGGATCGATGCATAAACTCCAGATTAAAGGGAGGTAGATCTAGCTTTTTGCTAAGCCCACGTAAGTTGTACTGTACATCCTTAAAATTCTCTGATATAAGGTGCCCCCTTGTCATATAAGCATCTGTATAACATAACTAACGATTGGAATTGCCTACGTTTCTCCAAGGACTTGATATCAGCCATCTTGTGGAGGAAGTCATATGACACAGACTTCGAATAGCCTAATATAGTTCTTAATATAAAATAATTAGTTGTCTCTATTTTGGTAGTCTCCGCATTGCCTACTCCCAGTAAAAGGGGACTATAGTACTCTAGGTGAGGGAGAACATAAGCCTTGTAGAGACGAAATAATACATCCTTAGAAATGAACTTACGTATTCTCCGCAGAGCCGAGGCCTTTGCACAGGCCTTATTCAGCTGTTCCTTTATGTGCGCTTTAAATGTTAATTTACTATCTAGGACCACTCCTAGGATTTTAAGTGTATCCTCCGTATGGACATTAGAATCCTTAAGATCGAATTCGTACTGGTATGAAGACGGACCAATGGCAATAGCTTGCGTTTTAGCGGCATTAATCTGTAAAAAATTCATTCTAAACCATCTCGATAGCACACTCAGATCGGAGTTAATTACAAACTGCAAAACCATTGGTGAGACATCAGAGGCGTATTGAGTGGTGTCGTCAGCATACAGCCTCAAAGACGTATTAGTAATAAAATAATTAAGATCATTAACATACATATTAAACAAGAGTGGACCTAACAGGGACCCCTGTGGTACACCAGTTTTTTTCGTTCTCCACGTAGAATGTACACCATCAAGTTTAACCCTCTGTCTCCGTCTAATAAGATAAGCGGTCATTATTTCCAGCGCATTATGCGTAAAACCATGTGCCTTCAATTAAGCTAGTAGAAGTGGGTGGCAAACAGAGTCAAAAGCTTAAATTAGGTCGATAGCCACTGCTGCAACGGCCTCTCTTCTGTCTAGACAGGCTCTCCAATCTTCAGTCAATTTCAATAGCGCCGTACAACACGAATGACCCTTGAGAAAGCCTGACAGATTCGGTGAGAGCCTCCAGTAAAAGGCTTCATAAATTTGATCGAACAACACCTTCTCATATCATATAATTTCGACAAGGCAGTCATAACAGAAACTGGTCCATAGCAGGTCTTATCTGTCGCACTTTCCTTCTTAAAAACTGGAACAACATCGCTACTTTTCCAAACTATCGGCCATTGTCGATTAGTAATAAAGTAATTGATCAAACGGGTAATCGGTTCAGCAATAACAGATGAGGATAAACGTAGCAACCTCTGAGATATTTTATCGCAACCAACAGCCTTGCGAGGGTGTAGAGAATCCAAAATTTTCCTTATGTAGCTGACATCAACTGGGACAAGGTTAAAACAATTATCTCGAGTTTTCTCAGCGATGTCTTTAACACTAGGATGATCAACAAACTCCACCATTTCCTTACAGTCTCCGTCACTCCTAGCCACCTCACAGAAGTAGTTGTTGAACGTTTCAGCCACAGACAATGAATCAGTAATTACACGCTCGTTATCAATCAGAAGAATCTTTGATTGCTTCTTTCCTTTGCTTGGCAACAGGGATCTCAATTTATTCCAAAACTCACCATGATGTTTAGTGTTTGTTGATGTCTCCATGCAAAACGCCTTCAGCACTTTTCGTTTCAGGGATGTGACCTTGTTTCTCTGTTTCTTATTAAAACTCCTCCCAAGAGGTCTTTGTTCTTTGCATGTTTCTTAAACAATCGATTACGACGCGAAATTTCGCGTTGAATTTGTGGAGTTATCCAGGGCAACTGATCACCTCTGACCCGTTTTTTCTTCATTGGTGCGTGTTTGTCCAACACCTCATTGTACAACTTAGCCCAATGGTGCCATAAATCGTCAACGTCGTCATAAATGTATGCAGTACTCCAAGGGACAGTTTTTAGATCATTTAAAAATTTGTGTATATCAAATTGTCGCATAGTTCTGTATTCAATTACAAGTGCCTTAGCCCTTGGTAATTTATTCTTTCGCACTGCATAAACAAGATCGTGGTCGCTGGGTCCCATATGCAAATTACCACAAGTTGCGTATCGTTCCGGATGGCTAGCGAGAATAACGTCAAGTAGAGTCATTGTTTTTTCAGTCACCCTTGTCGGTTCACTTATTTGGTTTTGCAAACACAACCTATCACAAAAGTCCATGAGTAAGTTATTCTCTGGATCATGACCATGCTCCCTAACAAGCATGTCGATATTAAAATCAACAATCAATAATATTTCCTGACGGCTCTCGTACATAAGCTCTGTGGCTGATGTACGCGACGACAAGAAATCAGTGATTATTGTTGATGATGTAAAACCTCTATTTTCTTGAGCTAAGATCGTCAAGTTATCAAACGATTATCCATTGGTGTAAACTGACAGGGAGTCTGACAGGCCAATAAGGGCTTCTTAGGCTTCCTGGTCAATATGGTATTGATTTCTTTCAAGTACTAACAAAAAATGTAAACTTGTCTTACATACAATATTGAGCAATAAAGTATATGAAGTATCCTGTACTTGTTAAGGAGGTTTGATTATAGTAGTATCACATTATTGTCTTACTTTAAAAAACAATTTTTCTTCCTCAGTGTTGACCGTTCTACCAAAGGACATATTTTAGGAGTACCCCAGAAATCAATCGCAGAAAGAGATCTTTCTCCAGCAAATGTAAGCCTATTAAGGATCATTCTCCATTCAGCCATGCTAGTGTCAGCCAGTAGGCAACCAGAGGTAACTATCATAAATTATAAAAGAGAAAACAATATGACTTAAGAATAACGAATTAAAATTATAGCACTAGTTTCTGTAATTAACTTCATCAGACTCCGCGATTGATGCTAGTGGATCTCTAGGTAAAGGGTTTTTTTGGAGTGTGATAACAAGGGTCTCTAAAAGTCAAAGCTTAAAATTACATATGCTTTTAATCTTAAAGGGACAGGTCCACGGTTCAGGACATGCTCATTAATCAAAATACTATTTTCCTGCCGGGACATGCTGTATCGCCTATGAAAGCAATATGATCATGTCGTAATGTTGTCAAGGAACCAATCTGCACACTCCCCTAGCAGTCACTTGATCAACTTAGGTGGAAATAGCTGTACATTAATCAACCATGGAATAAAACCCTCGGGTCAACAATAAATTCAACGATGGTAGTGTTGGCATAATCCACTAATGTTTCTGCTATTTCAGTACTCCTCCATTCCACTTCACGTTACTCTGAAATACACTTCTACTTTGAAATACACTCTGAGATCGTTGAGATACATGGGAGTGGGATTATTAACCGATAGAATCAATAAAAACTTGGAAAAACGTAATTTAATTTACGAGCATGCGCTGAACCGTGAACCTGTCCCTTTAATAAACTAACTATATATTTTTAGCAAATAAGGCAGCTGATAGTTTATGATGTCCAAGAAGATGATGTCTGTAGCTTTCTTTGGGAACATCTTGCCAATGACGTGCGAAGTTTATCCACAAGCTTAGACAGGAGCGAGGATGACGTGCTTTTGGCAGTTCATCTTGTGTTATCCGAGATCGTGTGGCGAGCAACAAACAGTAAGTCTAGGAATCACTTCTTGTTCAAATTTTATCAGTCTTTTAGTTTAGTCAAGCAAGGGTGGCACGGTGGTGATAGCACCCGCCTCTCACATTTATGTTTCCCTGGCTCGATTTTAACATTGGTTTCCCTCCCTTGCACCGAGATTTTTTCAATGCGTAGTCTGGTTTATCTGCCCTCTCCTCAAACAATTTCCAGTTCGCCCAAGAATATAGAAGACCTTGAACAACTGATACTAAGCCATTAATTTATTTTCGTTCCTTCTTTCATTATAAATCCATCGATCATAATTTGCAGGAAAGATCTAAATCAAACTGGTAGATGCTGTGCTAGTCGGGGCAGGAAAGGGTACTCTCCAACGGCGAGGGCATGATAGACGAAGAAGATCTGCACAGAAAAAAGTGCATGAGAAAATTTAATTGACTACAACTTTTTTCCTTTTCTAATAGGATCTCTGGAGCCAGAAAGTGGCCTACTTGGCTTTGAGAAGATATCATTTTGGTCCACAAAAGAACAAAGAAGAAATTGGGAAAATGATTTTGTGACTATGTTTGTGAAAAAGATTTTAATGGTAAATGGCTTTTTTTCTTTTGTCTATCCAGTAGCCTTTTTAATTCGTAAGTCTTGTTTCTACAGACAAAACGTTGGTTTTGCCGAGTTGGAAGAAAAAATCAGCAGTGGTCTCAGGATTTGTACTAGAACCGGTTTTATGTGTAACATGTTTGTTCGAGTTGAGTCCAACTGTCGAAATGCATCTTATCCGTGTATATATTATCAAACAATTAACGAACGAGCTTCGTGGAAAAGTAATTTACGGAAATGCTTATTTAAAGCAGTTTTGAGAGTAACATATAGATTTAGCCAGGCCTAAAAGCCAAGCTTCCGTTTATATAGTTAACATGATAAAAGTATGGATGTTTGGGTAACAACGCCATAAAAAACACACGGCCTTTTTTTATATCCAACTTTTAAGTGAATATCCCATTTATTAAAACACCCAGTCTTGTGGAAACTAAAACCATTTTAATGGTTTTAAAAAAAACCTACATGCGATAGGGTTTTCGGTCAAGGGTTACCCTTTGACCAGAAGCCCGTGTGCTCTTACAGGCTACGTTATTGGGAGAACATGAAATTACTTTTATAGGCGGTATATTCAAGGCCTCGGGAAAAAGATAACTTGGATTTCCTATATTGGATGGAAAATATTATCTTACCTACGTATTTAGCTCATTAGACGCTACGTGGGTAAATAAACGATTGATTGATTGATTGATTGATTGATCGATCGATCGATCAATCGATCAATCTTACGTTTCCACTAGTTATAAATAATCATTTTTGTAATGATGGGCCTTCTATTTCAACAGGATCTGGAAGAAAGGTTGCAGGCCTTCTACGCGGATTCTGTAAACGACAGAAGACTGGGTAACTGCATATTTGCTTCTGGCTCTTTGTGCACATTCTCACTGCTTATGAAATGAAAGGGAGCACCGGAAAAAGACAAACCCACGTTTTTCTTTGCAACGATGACAACAGTTACTATGTCTTTTACATCAAAATGATCTTGTCTGTGCTATTTACGCCTGTTTGTGATGACAGTGAGGACAATAAAAAAGATCGCAAATTAGAAAAAATTTTTACATCCAGTTCTCTTTTGCTGTCTTTTTTTTTTAATCAATTGAAATTATTACGTCATAACTTTGAAGGTGCTGCCCTTGTCAAAATGTAGTCGATCATAATTTTGATCCTCGCACGCACATACAAACTCATACCTCCTATCTAGCGTTTTCGTTAAGTTTACTTAAGATATTTTAAAAAGTTTCTACCCTTAATAGAAAGCCTGTTATGTTAATGATGTTCACATTATGGGCTGCTGGGGTCTAGTGGCATTATCGAACTTGACAGGAAAAAAGAAAATTAGACAAAGAAATCAAATACTTGCTCATAGGTGTACTGTACTTTCCTTTTCAACTTAAAAGCGTTTTTATGAGCTACCATTGTAAATTGTAAATTGTAAATTGTAATTTGTTTACCCACGAAGCACTAAGGAGTTCATAAGAACTCGTTGAAACGTGTCCGTGCGTTCCAGATCGAATTGGAATTTGAAAGTGTTGGTTTTTAAGGAGAGGGGAAAACCGAAGTACCCGGAGAAAAACCTCTCGGAGCAAGGGAGAGAACCAACAATAAACTCAACCCACATATGACGTCGACACCAGGATTAGAACCCGGGCCACATTGGAGGGAGGCGAGCGCTCTCACCACTGCGCCACCCTTGCTCCCCTAATTTTCATATCAGCCCTTAAACCATACCTTACTTGTCATTTAATATCTCCTATATCTATAGGCCGATTTACACCAGATATGTAATAAATGTGTCTCAAAGATAAACAAACAGGTACTGAATTAGCCAAGTGCCCAGATAAAATCCTCTTCATCAATTTAAAAAACCCGAGGGGTGCCATCCAACCCCACCGCCGTGACAGCCTTCCTTTTTCAAACATTAGAATAAGCCAAATCCGGGATCATGAATAACCAGTGACGTTCAAGTATTCTGCGCGCTGATCACGAACGTGTTAAAATTTACTCAAACGTATTTGTCACTCACACAAAATAATCTTAACAGTGATGATCCATTCCAGTAATTGTCCAGTCCAGCTGCACCCACTTTTTCTGTGTCCTAAGAAATTTGCTCCATAGAGCTTTGACATTAACTAACTCAATTTTGTCCAAACTTAGGAAATGACCCACTCATGCGAGAGGTTTACGAAGTTGATGCGCCTTGTCCTCCTCGAACAGTGACAGAAATTAACCCTGGGCATGCAGCCTTCTGGAGATACAGGACACGCGTAACAGTCGAACTCGTCAAACGAAATTTTGATGATGTGGAGTCAAACAAGACCACTCATAAGATTCTTGGAAGGTTCCTTAATGAGGTACCAGGTTTGACTTGATTAGCGACTATAAATGACGCCGGAAAAATGTATCTACTACTTTTATTACTAAATTACTTTCTATTTATTTGTGTAGGAACACAAACTCCGTGCATTACAATATCTTCCGGACATAGTGGCCTTACAGAGAATATTAAATGATCGCTTCCATCGACGAATTGAGAGAGAAAGAGCCAATCAGTTAACAATACGAGATTTCCTGAAAGATCTCCATAAAGGTAGCTTATTGAAGCTTAAATAGCGTTAATTCTAGGTTATAGGTCCGTTTCCTTAAAAAAACACACATTTTCAACGTAACAATAAGTTCATGCGTCAACGCGCGTATGTCGAGATACTGAGCACGCGAGAAGTTTGGAGAGCACGAAAGAGGCGTAAGAGCGCGCGGAGAGCAACCCTAGCCTCTTGATCGTCTCTAAACTTCCCAAGTGCTCAATATCTCGATATATACACAGCTGAAGTATAAATTCTTTTTTTATAAAATAACTAACTAAAGATAGTACGCGCGCTCTGATTGGCCGAGAGGCGTGTTTGCATGAGAGCGTGTAATCATGGTTGTGATGTCAAGATGTTTTGCTTTTCGCGAGCTAATCACGCAAGCACGAATTTGGAAAAGGTTTTGAGTTAAAAAACTCGACAAGTTTACTTTATTTACCCATTTCCTCGTCGGTTAAAACTTGAAAAATCTTTAGAAACATGCTGTGTCAACTTTTTTTCGCTTGAGCTGACAATTTTTTAGCGAGAAAAACACGTATTTTGGAAAGCATATTTTTTGCAAAATAAACTAAAAACTGATTACGCCTACAAGCTTCGTGTACAAGACTTCGCGACTGGTAAGAATTTCTCTTTTAATCAATGCTCTTAACAAGAGAGCTTTGCTTTTTTCGTCTCGGGTTTGCATAACTGTCTCGAATTCTCCCAACCCCTCTCGTGTTTATATCAGGCTATGCAAACACGGAAAACGTTTTCTATTGCTTAAATAGAACATTATCTAAACATTATCAAAGCGATCAATGCAGCAGTTAACTAATTAAAATTTTATTATTGCAAAGCGCGCTCAAAGCAGTACGCGTCAATGTCTACGTGACTATATATTTTTTTTACTTCTCAGTTATGTTTTTTTTTCTTGAAACTGAGAAAAAGTTTACTCAAGTCGCTTATGATAACTCCAAAAAAATGGTAAAATCCATATTGAGGTGCCGGAAAACTATTAATTCACCGAAAAATAGCCCGCACAGTTCGAGGAGATGACAAAAACAACACTCACCTCTTTTCCCTACTATCGGTAAACAAATTCGAAAGGTTTTCTATTGAATTACCTTATAAAACATGGTAAACGCTTCATCATGTACTGATGAGTAAGGGATGCACTTGGGAGACGTCATTGGAGGATAGTGATAAGCTCGCAAGAACTCGAGGTATAGCTTATTGACGTCATCGTCGTGCTCAATGAGAATATGTAGCACGCTCGCGCTATTGAATTTGGTTAGGCGAATATTCTAGCTATGTTATAATAAGTGGTTGAATAATAATAATTTTACATTAAGAAATTGTTCCTTCCTTTTCTGCTTAGTATTTTAAAATAAAAAGATAGAAACCACCATCCTTGTCAAATTAATGACAGACTGTACACAGTCACCATCTTCCGTTAAAATGTTCGTCATTTGTCTCACGTTCAATAACATGTGTTTGGCAAAGTTATTTTGCCCGTAACAGCATAACATTTATTCTTTGCCCAGCGGTAAGGACCGAAGGCCTAAACGTAGCGAGGTTGATGTGCAATACGGTATTTTAATTGGCAATTTACTGTACGAAATTTTTGTCTCTCGAAATACGTATTCTGCCTTCTGGATTATTTGCAGCTGGGGAATTCTGGGACAAGGAAATGAAGTTTTACTAAAGAAAAGGGTAGTTGAACAAGGGTTATGTAAAGAACAAACCTTATACGCGATAGAATGAAATAAAACATCATCCCATTCGTTGAAATGTTTAAGTGAAGCAACTGCTTTTTTGCCACTATTTTTTGAATGTTTACTTCTTTCTTTTTCATAGATCAAAAAGGGAGCGTACTCAAGCTGTTTCAAAGTTTCCAGTCTGCATGGGATCTTGTTCGTCACCAGTTAAGTTCTCAAGGTATCAATGGTGCTTTTTCGTGATCCCCTGACGTTATAAATGTATCGCTTCGGAAATAATTCTACGAATCTTGCAATTCAATTAGTTATGATGTCAACCTAGTTCCCAGGGTTCTCTCCTACCCGCCCTACGCTCCTTTAATCTCGCTCCGTAGGGCTACTTTCCGCTCACACATCGACTTTACGTAGTATAGACGGCGCTTTGCCTCAACAGTTAACAGATGTAAATGCTGTTTAAGAGAAGTGTGGGGCATTGTATTAGTTGTTTTGTAATCAATACAAAACAATATTTCGTAGCATCGAGATTTGTCATATGCCCTTGAAAAATTTGAGCACCCAGAAGTTAAGCATCATCAACACCATAACTTCCCTTGCTTTCAGGACGATTTGCTCCAACTGAAGAGCAGTGTACAAAGACGATGGAGAGAACTTCGAGCGTGTCATTAGTACTCCCAGCCAGCGAAGGGCCAGGCGTTTGTTGCAAGGGACTAATGTTCTTTTTAGTCAATGCCCACAATGAACTTGTTCAAGCGTACCAAAGTTGTGAAAATAACCGGTAACTTCACTATTTTTTTTACTTTCGTCCAAGTTTCCGGTGCCAATTTTAACAAATGATTTCTTATATTATTGACAGTAATCATAATTTTTTTAATTTGAAATAAGCTTAATTAAGTTTCAGTATGACTTTTTAAAAATCGTAATTTACTATGCATGTCTTTTATCTTATACCAGACCCAAAGGCCATGTTCCCCTCTCTGAGGTGTCGCCCTCGCAGCTGATTGCATATGACTATGAGAGGGACCTATTGCCTATGATGTTGGCGAGCTGCAGCTACTCGCTAGAAATGGGAAGAGAAACGCAGCTCCAGTACAACTGGGAAGCGCTGGAGAAGCAAATCATTGATCGGTTCATACGGGGAAGACCACAAGTGGAGTTTGAAGTAATCAACTTTTTATTTAATGCTCTTTACTGACAGGAAATTTAAGTTTTTTACTTTGTTGAAAGAAGTTTTAGTAAATCCTTTTGGTATTAACAACCGCATCGCTGATTCGAGGTTGGGTGCCTGGAACATCTAGGGGCGTCCGCTTTTGGCAGCCAGGCCCTAGACTGAGTAATGCTCCATAGCTGGCACCACCACGTAACGCTTCTATGAGCTCTCACAACAAGGAGAAACAAGCACACGTGACACTGATAAATATCTGATTCGAATGGAAAAAAATTGAAGGTTAGGCCCCGGCTTCGGCGTCCCTGGTTTAATGTTAAGGATGGTTAGATCGCTGGACATTTTTTAACAATTGTAGCGGCTTAAGGGAGAGACTGGAAATTCACGACCGTCCAATAAAGAATTCTTGGCGGGCTTCACTGAAAAGTGAAGTTTGAAAGAAACCATAATGATGGAATTTAAAGTGTTTTGAAGCAAACCAGGGACAACGATAGGGGATCAAGTTTAGCAAATTACACTTTGTTTTTAACTCATCGCCGGCACCTTTAACTTGATTTTAAACCTACAAAATTATAGAAGAAAAAAACCTTTGTATTAAAAAATAATTTTTTTTTTTTACATATCAGATAGAAGATTTTGTGTTTCTCGAGGATGCCCGAGATGAGTTTTCCTTTGCTGCATTAAAACACAAGATTCCACAGGTGCGTTGTTTTTACATATCAAGTAGTTAATTATCAGCAATAAAAACTTTTACATGAGCAAAACAGCATTTCTTTACACATTTTTTTTTCTATTTATCTCGAAGGAGCCCATTACGGGACACATTCGTTCTCAGATCCTGTCGGAGTTCAAAGATCTCAAAGATGTTACCGACGTAATCAAAACGCTGGAAATTACAGTTGGCTTTTTGTCTATAAGTGGTGGAGACCCAGAAATGAGCATCGGTGACTATTGCAGGGACGTGTTGCGATTGAATGAAGGAAAATCAAGGCAGAAAAACAAGAAGGTTTTCAATAAAAATTAAACATAAAATGTAATTTATTTATTTTGATAAGTACAGCTGTAGTAGTTATTAGTTGCCGTATGGTTTTAACTGTAGTGCTTTTCTGGTGAAGGACTAAACCATGATAATTTTTGGTCCCGTATTGTAGAAATGACTTTAAGTATCTCTTGGGACACAAGATTTTATGTTTACAACATTTAAGCCAACATATGTTTGCCCCAAGCCCGCCCAGCCGAAAATACCGTAATCGAGTCGGGGAATAGGAAATCGTGTGAACAAAATACGAGACCATTAAATTATTCCTAGAACTATGATAAATATAAATTCACAAATAAAATCAAAACAGGAAGAAGAATATCAAGCACGTGTAATGTAGTTGGTTGATTCTAATGTTGACGCCCGTTTTGAATTCATTAGGAAATTGTTAAAGAGGTCGTGATGACTGAAATGTATGTTAAAATTTGGTTTTATGACACACCTTTAAAGTTAGGTATATTTTGTTTGTTTTGTTTTTTAAAGATATTTTATTCTATTCAAACTGAAAAAAAATTGTTTTCCTTATTTCCAGGCTTACCAGCAGTGCAAATTAAAAAACATTCTGGAATTGTGGCGAACCCTTGCTGTTGCGCGTGCAAGGTTTCTCTTAAACAACAATGAGGTATTTTTCTATTATTTTAATTTGCTTTAAACGTTGCTTATCTGTAACTTGGTCACTAATAGATTTGCTAACTTCTTTTATTTTGTGTATATTTGCAACTTAGTAAACTGGACTCCTTTTGTATTTTTCATCTCTATCGTTCTCAGGATCCTTTTGAGCACGTTCCGGACTGTTTTAAGGATGAAATGCCGAAGAAAGTGGTAACTCGCTTTAGTGGGGCGCTTAGGAAAAAAATTGACGTACATCTCTTCTTGACTAAAGTTGTTGAAGTCATCTGTGTTAGTCTTGCTGAGGAGGAAGAAGAAATTGGGGAAATGAGGTAGTGTGTAACGTTTTTAGATAGCCTTCCTTTTTCGGACTTTTTTGAGCTTACCATGTGTAATCGAACTAGAGCCAATCACGATTATAAGCTCTATGTAAAAGTTGCCAGTTAAATTGCTACAAATATTCTTTTTTTTGTACGGATTGTTATTGTGTGGAATAATGGTTTAAATTATGATATGCAAATACTGTTTTTGATTCGAGGTTTTAGTTTTTAGATTTTTTTTCTCAGTATATAATGTTTTAGATTCTAGATTTTACATTTGTTTTCTTTTATTTTGGGGTGTCTTTTATATAGGGATAACCTCTAGATATCTCCTTTCGAGAGATATTTTGTTTTGTTTTCTATCTCTTTAATAAAGTATTGTATTATATTGTATTGTATTTACCTTACGTTTGCGTTTCTTTTAAAATCAATGAAGTAATTGTTATCATCATGCAATCCTTGCGTGTAAGCATTAATTTTTATTGGCTTTAGGAATGTCGCTTGGTAGTCACGTGACCGTCCGTCGCTGACAAGTCGTTAGCTTTTAAATGATTGCAGGCTCAATTGCTGGTGGATTTCTATTTCAATCGGTTACAAGTTCATTGTTTGAAGTAAATTATAAATTTATTAACGGGAGCTTCGCCTTTGGCCTTGGCTATATCTATATATTACTGAAGTGAACAAACCATGTGCAAATGCCATACGCGCGAACTTTCCATGAAGCATTCTAACAAACGCACCTTAAATTTAAGCTATTGATTCTTTCTACAGCCTAAGTGAATACTTGGCGAGGTATTTTGAAGAAAACGAGGAAGAATTTCCGGGCTTGGATGAAATGCCCGAAGACGTTTCTGTCAAGCACACGATTCATGCGTGGCAGCTTGCACTGGAACGAAGTGAGCAAGACGGACGGCGAAGAACATCTATGATGACCTAATTTTCGCAAACAACAAATACTCGTTGTAATGGCGGCTAATCCAGTTACAAACAGTACTGAACGACTCTTATAATCAAGGGGTAGAGGGACAAAAATCAAGCACACCTTGCTCAGCATTCTGACAACTTACAAATCGGCATGTTTGGCTTACCAAGTTATTTGTAGCGGGAAAGCACAAGTGTTCAGAAGTAAATACTTCTTTTTTCGTTTTCTTTTACGTTTTTTCATTTTAAACAGTATAATGGAAATGTGTTTTCATAAACGTTTAATAGGGGGTTGGTACAAATCAAGAAATTTGATAATGGACTTAATTGGATAATTATAAAATGGAATGCATTTTTTCAAAACTGTTTAAGGCATGTGTCAGTCTTTCAAACTTTATCTTTGTGATTTTGAATTTTTGCGAAGCGTCGATTTTTCACCTAGAAGTTTTTTTCCGCTGATCCTCAGTTTCGTAGAAGTTCATTTACGAAACTAAACAAAATGAACTAAACTGCCTTGAGAGAGTTCCATTAAACTCGAAATTTTGAAAAATTCAAGAGTTCTGCTCAAAGAAAAAGTAGGTCAGGGTGGATTAAGTAAATGGGCGTTCTTTGCCTGATTGTTTATTTTCAATAACTTTAGATTTTTTTGCTCAAACTCATTTCTCCTAAGGTAATAAAATGTTCAGAATACAAATATGAAAAGTGTTTGCCTTTTATTTGAACCGCGACATGATTAGTTCAGTCACTGGTCTGGAACGCTTCACGGCAGAGCGGGACGCCGTGTGTTTGATTCCTGGGGTCCGGACCAAAGATCAGGGTCTTAAAATAACGGAGAAATGAAGGTACTGTCTTTTCCCTGCATACAGTTAGACCTTGGTGTGGCTCGGATGACCACGCAAAATGGCTGTCCCGTCTCCAGTAGGAGACGTAAAATTAGTACTTCGTGCTAAATACATTGACACCCATATAGAGCCTTTTTTAAATTCACATATGATATTAGAAAACTCAAAGTAAGTTTCCAAACTTAATAGCTGAAACCTAAGTTAAAGAGAGTTCATATCAAAAGAAACAATCTTTAATCATAAAAGGTTAAGTCTGCATTCGAGCTAAGGCCTGAAATTATCCCCGGTTTCCATACTAAGAAAAGACTAAGGATAATTGCTATGCTCCCCTGGATGGGAGAATTGTCCATCAAAGTTACCCCTAGCAGTATTTCTACGGTACCCATTTACAAACCAGCGTGAAGAGAGACAAAGTGGAGTAAATTTTCTTGTCTAATGAAACAACGTGATGGCAAGGTTTGAACCCCGACCTCCAAATTCGGAGATCAAGGTGTTAACCGCTTGGCAACCACGCCCTAGAAATAATGTTAAATTTGCTATACATCTACCCCAAGCTTTGGTTTGATCCCATTTACACATGTAGAGCGAGTTGCTCATAACATATTCTCACCACCTACAATCCACATGAATATGTAATTAGATGTGGAGTGGTGAAAATGGTCGCTGTCCACAGGTGTGGACAGCTGTACATTCACATGAATTGCAGGCGGTGCACTGCGTCATGCCTAGGGGCACACAGTAGGAAGAATGGTGTTGATATATACAACGCTAGGGAATATGGGATATATACTGTTATGAAAAAATTCTTGCTTCATTACAATTTACACGTTGGGTCCAGTTGTTGGAAGGTCGATTAGAGCTTACCTGGCCCCGGTACCTGAAAGGCCGATCAGCGCTAATCCAGGATTAAAAATTTTGTTTTATTTTTGTAGTTCCTTAATTCCTATGCATTTTTTAGAGCAACATTCTGTGCTATCATCACTGAATCTCGAAGTAAAGGCACAACAGTATTTTATTTATGCAGGCTACCGGGTAAAGCACAAATTTTCTCTTAGTATAAAGATTATCCGCTGCTTTGCAAGCCTGTATAATTATTAATATACTCAAACTTCCTGCGGTGCCGCGATAACGTTTGAAAAATGGCGTATATAATAGCCTGTGAAAAGAGCCGTTTCTCCTCGCACTTCGCCGCTGGGGTCGTTTCGCGCGGAGGAAAGTCTGCGACTCAGCTACTGATGACGTAAATCAATGTTTATATAATATATCCTGTGGTCATGAGGTTCCACCTCCAACCTTCGAGGCCTTTTGTCTTTTGTCTGTCATTCGTGTAATGTAACTACTCAGTCCACCAATCAGCGCTTCTAATCGGATTTCGGACAGATTTTACGTCATCAGTATGGAATTTCTGTCGCTGAGTCGCAGACGTTATTCCTCGTGAAACGTCCTCAGCGGCGAAGAGCGAGGAGAAACGGCTGTTTTCGCAGGCTACGTATATAATCAGGTTGCACCCAATATTTCTAATACAATAACCATAGCTTAGATGTCAGCCACCATCATAGCCTGCGTGGCAGGCGTTTGAAAGGGAAGGGAAAGGGGTTTTTATGCGCAAGAGAAACGCAAGGGGCGCGCGAGGAGGGAGAGAAAGTTTCCATCCCTCCCTCCTCGCGCGCCCCTATTTTCTCACTCCCAAAACCTCCTTTCCCTTCTTTTCAAACGCCTGCCACGCAGGCTACCACCATCATTCCAATCTGAGTGTTAAACTTTCGGAAGATTTTAACTGAGAAGATGTCATTGCTAATATTACATCACGCGTTAAGTATATCCTCAGTGTTATTTGGAGGTAGTTTAGACATACCTCAACTGTTTGTGAAGCCAAGCTCTTCTGTGGTTTAGTGAGTTTAAAGCCGGATATTGCAAATTCTTCCTGGTATCTTTATTTTTAAGAAGATAAGTACTGCCTGAATAAGATTTAGCCATCTGCAGCTAGAGATTAGAAGCAGGGGAGGTAATGTTTCATTTCATTTTATTGGCATTTACAGTTTTATTTCCTCACTGCTCACAAATAGCAAAGGCTAGTCTAGATGGGCACCGCAGTGTCTATGTAACACAAAATACGCACTCCAAATAGTATTCAATGAACAAGTCAATAAAAGTTATTTATATAAATTGTGCAAATGGTAAAGAGAAAAAGAAAAGTTAAGTTAAAAACAATGCTGAGGTTAGCTGGAATACAGAATTTAAATCAGAAGCTTACAAGTACACTATTAAGATGATTGCAATGATAATGTGTGAGTGAGTTACGTATGATTTTGAATATGTTGCGTTTGTCCTAGTAAGGTAGGTAGTCCAGAATAGTCGTTGTCTGTGAAAGGATTTGAAGTAAGCAATTTTTTTTCATTTTAAAGCTGCTTTAGGAGTTTTCTAATACTTGGAGGTATGCAATTCCATAATTTGGCCGCCAATGATCTTGAAAATGATTTGCCTATTGTGCTACTAATAATGGCGTTAAAAAAATAACTTAAAAACCATTTGGACCATTGGTTTGGCAGGGTTGATTTATGTCATTGATTTGATACTCTGATGTGATGCGCTGTACGTTTTATCAGTCAATAGACTAGATTAGACTGGGACTAGTTACATATCGGTAAATAATAGGTGAATACAACTGAACACTATTTAGTCTCGGTACTCAGGCAATTTTTAGAGAATAAATCAAATTTCACCTGATTAGATATTGTATAAGAGTGAATCGCAAATTCAGGAAAGTTCAAACGTATAAAGCACTGCAGTGTCCCCAAAACAAAACTAGGCAAGATTTGTAACAAACTCTACAAGCGTTTTTCTTTTTTGGAATGTAACCCGGCAATCAACCACCTTTTCAAGTCGTAACTTTAAAAATGTTCTACCTATAAGGGAACGTTTTAGGTTTGTTCTCTTAGCACCATATATGTAGTGAAAAAATGAAGATAAAATTTTTCTTTCTTCGCTCTTGTTGAAACTGGTTTTAAATGGCACTAATGGCTTATTGATCCCCAGTTATTCCCTTTTGAAATATCAATCTATTTCCTCTTTTTCCATCAAATGATGAGTCCGTATCGAAAATAAAATATAAAAAATTGGTTCACTGTTGAATTTTCATGACTTAAAGATACTTCAGCATACCTACATTTAATAGGCAATTGTTAGCTTGGATGTTCACTGTGATTCAAAAGAGAAATTTTAGAAAACTGTTACGAAAACATGAAAGTCATAAAACTTTTGTTGCAGTACAAGAGAAACAATCCCTACAAAAAACACCGAAGGTTACTCGCTTACTTTTTGGCCTTTTTATTATTTTGTCATTTGTATTAATTGCCTTTGCTCATATTTTAAACTTTTCATAGTCTTCTCTACTCCATACTTTTTCAAGGGTACCAGTAGGTTTATAACCCTTAAACCCTCGAATACCAGAAGGACCTAGCACAATGCCACTGACTAAAAGCCCAATTGCTTTGTTACCTGTTGTCTCCAGTCTTAAAGTATGGTGACCAGGAAGGACGTTTGAGTCTACAAAGTAGACGCGAGTTTGGAAGTGAACTCTACCAAACCTTTTCCCCACGATGGTTACTGCAGCTTTTTTGTTGTTGTCCAACCACATCTTGACTTGTCCTGAATTTTGGGTCAAACGTCGGATCACCATGCCTAGTGAGTAACTGTTAGATGCATACCCTTTATAATTCGTCGCAGCTGGAACTTGAAAAGAAAATTCGATTAAACTTCCAGCCCGAGCTGACCTCCAACCACCAAAGGCGTCGCTCCTGTCATCCTTATCATTATTGTATCCCACATTTGCTTCAATGTTTTCTAATGGAAGCTCCTCGAATTTTTCCTTCCTTTTAACAGTGACTTGAAGAGTTTGAAATACGTTAGATTTTCCCCATCTTGGATTGACATACGCCCAGCACAGTGGGTTCGTAACAAGCGACGATGCATCAGCGTACAAGGGAGGACTCAAACCAGGGTTCGCGCATTGTGGCTGTGGACCATACGAAGCGCTTACTGCTGCCCTCTCAAGAGAATTCTGGAAGTATCGAATCATCATTAAAGCAGTCTGAGCATGTCCTTTTACGTCTATATGCAAATGATCCTTATTCACCATTCCTGGTCGTAGATAGGGTTGACGCCTTCGAGTCTTCCTGTTCACAGGGCAAAGAATGTCACGCCAGCTTAGCAAAGTTATTTCATAGTGTTTTGCAAGTTCTCGTTGCCCTAAGTCCTCCAAGTTATGACAATTGGGGTTGTTTATGCTTTCCAAAGATTCACTTTTCTTTACAAGATCAACTAAACTGACGTACAAAACTAACGGCAGCGTCTGAAATGATAGGACCCGTCGAGTTAAGAGCTCCATTGGTTTAGCAGTTGCACCGTGTAAATATCCATAGTCGTTAACCGATAACTCGACGAGCAGTATATCTGGTTGACCATTTTGGGTAACAAAATTTTGGAAGCAAAAGGTAAAGAAATCGCTTCCGGTTCCTCCAAGTGATAAATTTTCAACTGTGAGCTTCGACCTAGTTTGTGGAAAAATCACACTATTCCACCATTGAGAGAAAAGTTGATGATAAAGGCGCATGTGATTAGAAACTCCACCACCGGCTGAATTTGATCCGCCCATCACTATCATTTTTATTGGCTGACCCCTCAGTACTTTGGTTACCAGGTTCTGTGCTCGGCAAGCCGGTTCTTTTTCGTTCCAGTCGATAGCCCTTGCAATGTCCTCCTCATTAACATTCAAGTCGTCAATTCGTCTGTAGACATTTTTGTCCTGCCAAAATGCAAACGGGTCCTTTCGGATCCATTCCATTTGAGAGTCAAAGTTTGGGTGTCCGTAGTCATGAAATACAGTGCCTCTAAGTATGTATAACAAAAGAAAGTCAGCATTTCCCGATTCTACTGTACTGTAACTTTCAAAAGGCTTCAACATATGGTTTGCATCGAAGAAAACGGAACAGGTATGGTGCTGTCAAGTCATTTTTTCTGAACTAAATTTAGGGGTCATTTGTCCTCTAGCAAAGAAAATTGCTGTTTGCAAACTAAACTATAGCCCACAGCTTTTGAGTTGGAGGATAACATCATCGGCTAGCAATCAACAAGCCCAACAACCTTCTTTCCTTGTCACAGGGCAGTCGCGTCCAGGTATGTCTCTCACAAACTTCAAGCCTTGAGGAGACTCCAACGAAAAATGGACGGACGAATGCTTATTAGAAAAGTGGAATTAAACTCCTAAAAAACAATCTGTGAGTGGCCGATGCCTAATGGACCTTGTGAGTTCAAGATTGCTGGATATTGGCCAGGTTCTTTTTTGCGTTGTAACGGACCGAGAAGAAAATAAAAACGAGGCCAACGTTAAGCTATCTTGACAAAGAAAGCTCGGTCATAAAGGATTTATTATACGGCCAAAAAGAGAACTCCTTTGCGAAACTAACGCGAGAAATCCTGAGTGGGCAAGATAGGCCCATCTTGCCCGCTCGGGTAGCCAATCAGAACGCAGATTTCATTCATCACGCCCGCTCGCGGATTCAACCTTATAATCAAGATTTTTCATTAGGTACGACCAAAACATTTAAAATGGGTTGAAAGTGATTGACTGTCCGCCTTAAACACCAGTACTTAAGACAAAAATCAACAAATTCTAGCCATAAGCAAGACAACGCGCATTCCTGACTTTTTTAAAGGTATTCACGCAGCGCAGTTCACGATTTTTCGTCAAAAGAAAATCTTCATTTTGTATTTAAGAGAAAGGGCACGACTTAAAAGGTTTTTTGCTGAAACGAATTCTAGTAAATGTCCAAAAATAGAAAAAAAAGGGGAAAGCAAAGTAAAGGGAGTCAAAAGGATGGAAAGCCAAAGGTTAAGTGTTAGTTACTCCTTCCCCGTACTCCTGTCGCCGTTATCTAGCACCAGAAGTAGAAAGCAGAGTAGTTCATGACTTGCATTGAGTTTTGGTTCTCTTACATGGCCAGATAGTTACCAGAAACAGCTCGACTAGCTTAAGAAAGCGTTTCGGTAATCCTTCCGAGGACGAAACGGTTTGATTTAAGTTAATGGATAAATCGACATTTAAACCAACAATACGCTGTTAGGATGGAAATACTTCATATGCGTTGACCCAACAACTTGGACTTACCTTGGAGTTGGTAGTACTTTTGTTCTCTCTATTGTCGACTCGCAAAACAAAGGACACACAACACTTACAAAAAACAGTAAAATCAACCTCATATTCCACTAAGTTGATGAGGCGCTCCTCTACTGATGCAATACAGCAATTTTCTAGCATACAAGTAATTAGTTCCGCAAAGCAGGTACCTGTATATACTGTTTCTTGCACCACAAGGAACTAGTTCTCATCAAGCGAGGGGATAGAAAATAAAGTATTCATTGTAGCGCGTCCATCCAGTGGGTGAGTACAAGTTGACAGAGCGATGTTATATACTGCGGTTTAGCTTTATCCTTGGTTCAAACTTATTGTCCCTTATTTCAATTGCAAATTCGATTCATTATCATACATCACCAATCCCAGAAACAAAGGCCAGCTGAAGCCAAAGTTCATATATATTTTATTGTTTAGCGGAGCTCCACGCGCTCGCAAAGCGAGTGCGATCGGAGTCTTATACCTAAGAAAATTTTGTGCTCTATTTATCCGGGAAATTTTGGTAATCACGTGACGTGACCCATCTGTCCGCACCATAGGGAAACCAATGCGAAATGTCAAACTTTCTGACCAGTGTTAAAGCCTGTAACTTCTGTTTAACTTGATAATAGACATCTTTATTATGGTCAATTGACAGCTGTCAAAACAGTGTATCCACTGACCAAAGTCACATGACCGTATTGCTGGCTCAGACGCCAACTCATTGAGGTCACGTGTCTTTTGAAGTTTCCCGCTGACCAGTTGTTAGCTTTAAATTGATCGCAAGCTCACGTATCTCGATATTATTCATATTATTCTCCCCTAAAGTTAAGTATAGATTTGAAGGTTTCTTTGCAATGGTTTCAAGTCCATTGTCTGAAGTAAATTTAAAATGCATAAACAGGAGCTTTGCTTTTAGCTCTGGCTATATAACAATTATTCACCGAAGTGGAAATGACTAGTGTTGGTGGATATTTACAGAGGCCGCGATGCGGCGAGGTAAATAACCACCACTAGCCACCGACACAGAGGTAAATAATTGTCTTAGTATATCCTAAGACAGTGAGATAATTGAGCACAAAAATGATAATTTTTAACTCATTTACTGTTGCCAACAATTACAATTTTGGCGCGCAATGACCGAACGGCCGCAGTCGCCGCTTTTTCTTGCCGACAAATAAAACTTTTGAAGGCATTTGTTTAGTTCTTGCGAGGAAATTTCTTCAATAGTAGTTGTGAATTCTTGTCGTATTTAAAATCATTCTGTAAAAGAGATTATTAAATTTAGTTTAAGCTTATTTATGAACAAGTCAACTAAATAAAGTAACGCAAGACGTAAGCTTAATTTGCATTTGTAAACAAAACATTTTCGCACCAGTTTTATCGATAAATTCAAGTCAAAAAGACAAAGCTTTACCTATTAAAGGTGTCAAACCGAACTACGTCACCTTCGTCGTGTATTTCGGAAACAGCTTGCTTGATTAGTTGTGAAATTTCTTTGTTTGTTACGGCAGCAAACCGGAAAGGCATTTGTTCGCAACCTAGAAGAGTTTGGGGTCGCTCGCTCGGAGGAACTGCAGGTGAATCAGTAAATAGTGCAGGATATTCACTGATTGAGTAGCCAATCAGAGCGCGCGAAAAACACTATCCACAGGTTTTAGTATATACTAAATACATATAAAGAAATAAATAATAAATATATATATTTAGAATATACTAAATATATATATAGGCCAGTAGGTGAACTACTCAAATCCTGAGTGCATGGTTGTTTAATGCAAATCTGTCTCGTAGGCCACCGAAAAACGTGAATTTAAGAGGAAACTTTGAAGGTGAGGGTGACCCACTCATCATCACTCCATTATCATTCATTCAAAATATTCCCCGATTCCGATTGGCTAAAAGCACACGCATAATTTACCATAACCAGCTATTGATGACCAACTTTGGAAGAATTTTGCGTTTAATGAACCGATGACGTCAAAAGTGCAGCTTTTTTGCAGGTTAACGCACCGTTATCCGAGAAGACCTGGGCACGAAGTTGAGTTGTTTTGATCGTGAGAACAAAAATGGCGGACATTTCACTCGTTTCAAGAGTAAGAACTAGACAAAATAATAGCTGAACACATGGCAAGAACAACAAGACAACTGGAAGGGCGACATCTGCTGTTTGGAGAATATTTGCGGAGCTGAACAAACCCTAAACGTGCACTATCGAAGATGAACTTAACATCGATGGATCGATGGAGGTAAGCATGTTTTAGCCATGTTTTTAAACTAGGAATTATTTCGAATGAACAATAAAGCAAGCTTTTAAACGAAGCGATCAGGATTTAGTAGCCCAGTTAGCTCAGTGGCAAGTTCCTAGATGAGGTCGATTTATTTTTTCTTCTTCCTCTTCTTTGTTGTTATTGTTCTCTTGTTTCGTTTGTTGGTATGTTTTGTTTTTTGTTTTGTTTTATTTTTTTTATGTATTTCTTTTCTTTATTGGCATCTTTCTTTCTCTTCCTACTTGTGGCGTAAGCCTCTGATTTTCGAGATTCTGCGATTCACGGACTAGTAATTGGATTCAGAAACACGTTTACGGCAAACAGTAAACGACACACTCTGGGTGACAATTTCTCAAATTAGGAAATGAGAAATTGTATATCATACGAATTAATTCTTATGGACGACTTAAAAAAGCCAAACTGGTTACTTTCCGTGGTATCGACAGGTTGATGTGTTGTCTCGTCGTAAGGATTCCACGCTAATAGATTTTATCAGTAGAGACAGAGGAATCGGGATTCATGACAGCAAACTTTCAGTTGGTCTTAATGACGAATTGCTCGCTACAGCAAAAAAAATTGTCATAACAGCAAAAATTGATGCACAAGTTTATACTCTTTAATGTTTAGGTGGATTTTTATTCCTTTAGGGAACGGGTTTCGGGAATTTTGTAGTGGGCTGGTCTGGTTCAAACACTGGACGAAAAAACGGATTTGCCTAAGTTTGCTAGTTGAGCAAATCTATTGTAAATTTAGGGTACTAATGTTGCTACTTATTTGTTCTTGGTGCAAATTTTGTTCAAAAGTGAAAGTTTACTTTTCTGCAAGGGTGGCGTAAATGTGGAGTAAATATAAAGTTTACAGATATTTTGTTTCAGTTTTGCTCCCCATAGTAAATTTGGTGTTTAGATTCAAATTTGCCGCCATTTTGTTCTCCGTGTAAAAATCGAACGTCAAAAATGAATGTTTGCTTGATATTTTCTGGCATAGCAAAGTTACTGTGTAAATGTATGGTTACTAGAGGCGTAAATTTAAGCAAAATATGATCAAAGAACTATCTTTACGACCACTTTAACCAACGTTTGCACATTTATCAAACTTCACAGTGTTATTTCACGCAAGTTTTGATTTTCCATTGCCCCGTTTCAATCACCATCACATTCTCCTCAAAGTTTATCATATTACTTGCTGCAGCTGGTTATTTCGGGAAAGGCCATCCCCCCTTTTTTTTTTCGTTTAGCGTCGAATGCGTTTCCTGATATTGGGTCGGTGGCTCGGAAAAAAACAAAATATCACAAGAAGTCTCGGAATACATGGAGGAGGCCCTGGTACCCCAGGATGACGTAAAACGTTACCATTTACAATTTGGGTGAACAAAATGCACAATATGTGAAAGGTTTGAACCCA